GGTGTCACCGAGAGGGGATGAACAGGGAGCAGCAGCTTCTTCCAGGCTGGGAGGGAACCAGACTGGAAATGCCCCAATTGATCATGTTGTCCCTGACCCCAAGGGAATGAGGGAGTCCCCAAAATCCTGCAGAACCCACAAGAAGCTGCTCGACAACCTGAGCAGGACCCTCCTCCTTCCTGAGCTGACCAAGAGGAGCTGAACAAACAAAACCCATTTCTCCTGGTTTAATCAAAAAGTTGTGGTTTGGGTCCAGTAAGAAGAAGAAAGGTCCTGTGCCCCCTGGTGCTGGGGGAGGGTATGAGGAGACCCTGGGGGTACTGGGAGCACTGGAATGGGGAACTCTGGGCAGCCCCACATGGGACCCCCAAACCAGGCACAGTGGGCACTCACGGGAGCTGTGGTGGGGAGAAACAGAGGGGGTGTCCTGGGGCAGGGACCCCCAGTGCCCCCCAGTGTCCCCAGTGCCCCCCGTGCCCCCCGTGCCCACCTTGCAGCCGTGGGAGGAGATGATCCTCATGTCGGCGGGCACTCTGTCGCCGCCCTTCACCTCCACCAGGTCGCCCACCACGACGTTCTCGGCGTTGATCTGGATCTTCTCGCCCTCGCGGATCACCAGCGCTTGCTGGGGGGGCACCGGGCACTCAGGGGGTGCCCACCCACCCCGGGACCACCCCGGGACCCCCCGGCCGTGCCCCCTGCCCACCTGGGGCACCATGTTCTTGAAGGAGTCCATGATCTTGGAGCTCTTGGCCTCTTGGTAGTAGGAGAAGCAGCCGGTGACGATGACGACGGCGGCCAGGACCACCCCCAGGTACAGCTGGCACCGGGGGGGCACCTCAGCACCTGGGGGGGCACCGAGGGACCCCCCGGGACCCCCAGGGCAGGGGGTTTGACGTGCCCCCCACACCCGCAGTGGGCCCCCCGAGGGCTGGCACGGGGTGGGGAGGGGACAAGGGGCCACCGCTTTGTGCCACCCCCGGTGCCACTGTCCCCATGGCACCTGTCCCCGCTCCCTCGATGTCGCTGTCCCCATGATCCCAGAGCCCTCCCAGGGTCCCCCGTGTCCCCATGCCCCCTGTACCCACCATGCCCCCCGTGCCCCCCATGCCCCTGTGTTCTCCCTGTGTTCCCCATGCCCCCTGTGCCCCTGATGTCCCCCATGTCCCCCATGT